CTTAAATAAAGAAAATTCTTAAAATCATCACAAGTGTTGAAACTGTGAAATTATCGTATAAACTCTATTTATAACAAGCATGATGGTTGCTTAATGAAACTTTACGTAAGTTTATGATGCACACTTTTCTTCTCTACTTTCATTTTTTTCCTCTACTCTTTCATTTTCTTGTTTCGACGCAGTATAATGACCTAAAACCTTTGTAATTTTCTAAACACTCAAAACTGCATGAATTCTAGAAGATCCCCTGAAGATTGTCTCGTCAACATGCAAATGTTCACGGATTCGGCAAGGATAGTCGGAACAGTTTGCTCCAATTATGAAAAGGTTTCTTGGCGGAAAACGCAGGACACAAAGTGCTCGATCAGTAGCTACAACATAAGCTGTGACACGATTTAGATCACGATCATATGTCTAAAATTTACAGCGTTGACAGATTCGCTTTTATGCATATACTCCCTGACATCCAATGACCTAACGAGATATAAACACTTTAACCTAACGGCAATTCAATGACATAAAAACAACACCTTTGTGATTTAGAAGGAAATGCTATACAAACCATTACAGCCTCAGCTGGCCTCCCAGGTAGTGATGACTTTTGCATGCGTGCTAACGGCCAGTCTGGATATTTTCGAAGTACCTTTGGATAAACCGTCGTCGCTCTGGATTTTGGCATATTAACTGGTACACGGCTCCTTTATCAATCTGAAAAAAGTTGAGAAATCAATATCTGGCTTTTTATCGGTATACAGGAGTTTTCAAATTTGTTGTGACCGATGTTTCGCTTTGCTTTCGCTTTTTTCAATCCTCAAAAGCACCTCGATTCATTTCAAGTGTCCATAGTAGCTGTTGTAGGCTTATCAGTAGAACAAAGTACTAATCACCCAATTCCCAAATAAGACGTTGATTTAAACATTTCAAGATTCATGAAAAACAAAAGCAACTGCATACGTTCAATCTTAAACACGCGTATGAGGTGACTTTAGTCTAATTGTAAGCATAGGTGATTTAAATGATGCACATATAGAGAAATATGGCCTATCTCGCCAAGGGAACTGCTAGGGCTGAATCTGTTTCCAAACAGTGGTACTTTCATTTATTGCAGATGAAGACGAAGTATTTGGTGACAGCATTAGGTGCAACGGAAGAACGCATCTGCAGGTTGCTATGACTTCCACTTTACATGACACTTCACCTCATCCACACTGTTAATTTTCAGGAGCTACAACGAAGGGAAATTGTGGATATAAGAGACCAGATAGTTTGAACGAAGGAACATTTTTTTTCTTCCTTGCAAAATTATTTAGGCACGTACTCTCTAGCAATACTTCCACTTACTCCTTGAGTGTTAATCAACGATTGTTACTGAATTGTCACCCGATTCAGACTAACACTGCGTCACGTATACAATAATGATTCCCGACTCCTTTTTTCTTTGCATTCACTTTGACAAAAGATCACCATAATGTGTTGAATCGTGCCTGCGAAGTTCTCTATGCGCAAAAAATATTCTAGCCATTCAACATTGAGGAAAGACCCCTCAACTCATAGTGAACCTCATTTAGCGGAGTGGAAATCGAATACCACACGCACCATACTAAGACTAGCAAAGGGGATGCCACAATTGGTCAAATGAAATATCGCATCTAATATGTGGCACCTTGTTTTCGAACGATGTTTTGCATGATGAGGCACATATATGTATACATACATATACATATATATATATATATATGTATATATGTATATATATATATATAGGTGCACATATAAGCACACATGTGTGCATGCGCATGCATACACTTATATAAGTACATATACAAGTACGTATACATGCCTATATGCATTCATATATATATGTATATATATATTTATGCATGTACACGTATACCGTATACACATGTATATACACATATAAGTAAATATACATATCTATGCATATATACATATATATACATGTCAAAATTCGTTGACGAGCTTTTCAAAAATCGTTGGAATGTAGGCAAAATTTTTTTCAGAGTTCACGAAATAAAAGTGAACGTGATTCGAGCTAAACAACTGACACCTAAGGTATCGACCAGCGTTATAATGTAATCAGTATTTATTTATAACCACTAATGTGTAAGCACACGGCGAACCAATTTTTCTTAACCCTTCGGATACGACAGGAAGACGGCGCTCATCGCGCGTCGCCGTGAGGAGTCCGTAGTACCGAGTGGTTAGTGATGCTGGCGGCCATCTGAAGAAACGCCGCAGGTTCGATCTCTTTCCATGACATTTCCCATGTTTCTTGGCGTTGATTAGTATTGATGGTCATTCTAGAAACTGACTATAGTTGAAAAAAACGCTCAGTTGCCTTATAACATCACCACTTTTCGATGCGAAACGTTGAATCATTAAATAACAACGAAACCAAGGTAAAAGTTTCGCAGAAGTGACTACATACATTCCTTATGCAAGCTTCTTTTGAATTGCCATACGCTGTGCAAAAACGTTATCGAATTAGACTTTTACCGTTCAAATCGAATTGCCAAAAAAAAGTTTAGTGTGCGTTGCTACCTTAAGAATCCGGGCTTCGCACCAACAGCAGTGAGTTGTTAGCGACTGAGCGCTTTTTTCCGTGCCTTATGGACTGCCTCTATTAAAAAACTTTGATACTAATGGACATCAAAAAATCTGCTGCTAAGTGTCGCAGCTGGAGATCGAAGCGGCAACTTTCTTTCCGATGGCCGACATCACTATTATCTACTCGACACTACGGACTGCTCGCTACTCGCAGCGGCGGGCTAGAACCGTGTTTCTGTCGTACCCAAAGGGTTAAAATCGCAATCGTACTGCTCAATTCACAAAATGAGAGGATTGCTCAAAGGGAGGAAAAATGGTTCGACAGGCAATGATTGCCGTGTTTATGGACACTATAGCGCGTTATGTTATGGTTATGTGTTAAACGAGCTAGTTATAGTGCAGTAGATCACGACATTGTTGGTGTTCGTGGGCTGCCGTGCTTATTTGAAGGCTTATATATATAGTAGTAGTGTCCAGAACTTTGAAGCTTTGAAACTCAAAGATAACTCAGAACAGTACAAACTCAGAAATGCCTATGCACACAATGTAGCGATGACAAGTAAGTGTCTTCCAGAAGTTTGTTAAGTTTCTAGTTCCTCACAGTTCTTGTTATCGGAGAAGTATGGAGAGTCTTTCGAAAAAACATTATCACCTAGTGTGTCCCATTCATATGAGAATCAATTTAGATTAGCAACCGATTATTCTTAACAGTTATATATTTATTTATTCATAATAACTATGATGCAGTGGTTATTGATGAAGTGTATCAGAAGCAAGACGACAAGCAAGGCACTAGTTGAATATCTTTTCTTAACACTCTTGTAGTGTTTATGATGTAGAGTGGTGTGCAAAAACGCTTGCATCAGCCGGGATTTGAACCCAGGTCCTACTCTTTCCGGGAGTATGTGCTAAACCGTTGCACCACCCGACGCTCGTTTCACACTCCACTCTTTCTACGCTACAACACGTTATCTGTCAACAGCCAACCGTCTACGGTGAGGCGGGGTGTGGGTTCAAATCCCGGCTTACCAAGCGTTTTTGCACACCACTCTACATCATCATTGGGTCCATAGTAACATCATAACACCGCAAGGCGGTCAAATAAAATGATTTCGGATTGATTATTCGGACCCAATATCTGTCAACATAAAGGGGTTCAATGTCGATAATGACTACCCCGCCACACCGTAGACGGCTGGCTGTTGACAGATAACGTGTTGTAGCGTAGAAAGAGTGGAGTGTGAAATGAGCGCCGGTGGTGCAGCGCTTTAGCACACACTCCCGGAAAGAGTAGGATCTGGGTTCAAATCCCGGCTGACGCAAGCGTTTTTGCACACCACTCTACATCATCACTGAGTCTATAGTAACAGCATAACACCGCAAGGCGGTCAAATAAAATGATTTCGGACTCTTGTATTAAGTCAACAAAACGCTCAAGAAATTGTATAGGCCTCGATTAACATTATACGATACCCATAGAGAGGACGAAATTTTTCAGCAGCAGCCCAGCCGAAACAACATGCGGGATGTTCGAAGATTTTTGTGGAGGGTGAATGCGTACAATAACGGGATACTTTCATTATTATTTGAGCAACTTGTCATGTGGTCTGGTAAGGGCTCTAATACAGCTCGATCGATACACGTGTTTCGTCTTTACAGACTCGTCAGTCGGGCAGAACCCGTCGTCTTTCGATATTTTTATAGTCAGTTCTCTCGGGAGCTTGCTCCTTTGCAGAGAGTTATCGAAGACGAACGTTTTACACTCTATGTCAAGCGAAATTTTCACCTATCACAGAGCGTTTGCGCACTCGATTGCTCTTTGGCTGGTATTTTTAGCATATTATACCTTTATGTCGAGTGTTTTATCAAGACCAACAAGACAAGCCCTTACCAGAACACATGACAAGTTGGCTCGAATAATAATGGAAGGATCTATTGAAATTTGAGCGTGCTTTCAATGAAGCACTCGAAATAAAGGTATAGATACTGGCCAAAGAGCAATCGAGTGCGCAAACGCTCTGTGATAGGTGAAAATTTCGCTTGACATAGAGTGTAAAACGTTCGTCTTCGATAACTCTCTGTAAGGGAGCAGAGCTTTCGAGAGAAGTGCTATAAAAATATCGAAAGACGACGGGTTCTGCCCCACTGATGATTATGGTGGATTACTACCCAGCTACGTGGTAAATCAGGCAAATACCTTACTGCTGAAAAAAATGCTAAAAAAGCTGCTGAAAAATTTTGTCCTCTGTATGGGTATCGTATAATGTTAATCGAGGCTTATACATTCAGTCTTCGAGGTAACCGAGGTGCGGCATTCTTGAGCGTTTTGTTGACTTACTACAAGAGTCCGAAATTATTTTATTTGATCGCCTTGCAGAGGTTATGATGTTACTACAAACCCAATGATGGTGTAGAGTGGTGTGCAAAAACGCTTGCATCAGCAGGGATTTGAACCCAGATCCTACTCTTTCCGGGAGTGTGTGCTAAACCTTTGCACCATGACACCGCAAGGCGTTTAAATAAAATGATTTCGGATTGATAATTGGGACCCAATATCCGTCAACATAAGGGGTTTAGTGTCGATAGTGACTACCCCGTCACACCATAGACCACCTCAGGCCGGAATCGAACCCGCGTTTCATCCTATCCGGAGACGCGTGCTCTAACCACTACACCACCGAGGCACATTTGCCGGACCACTCATTCTTCAACATCTCTATGTTAGCTATCAGCCGCCAACCTTTAACAGGTTTGGTCGGATATGCGATTTCGCTATATAAACGCGTCCCTGGACAGGATGAAACGCGGGTTCGATTTTCGCCTGAGGCCGCGTTTTTGCTCACCACTCAATATACTAAGTTATATAGGTAACACCATAACACTGCGAAATAAGCAGTAGAAATTCTATAATTTCGAAGTATTATATATAACAATAGCTGTTAGCTCAACGGGATTTATGAAGCGAAATCGCATATCCGACCAAACCTGTTAAAGGTTGGTGGCTGATAGCTAACATAGACGTGCTGAAGAATGAGTGGTCGGGCAAATGTGCCTCGGTGGTGTAGTGGTTTGAGCACGCGTCCCCGGACAGGATGAAACGCGGGTTCGATTCCCGTCTGAGGCCGTGTTTTTTGCTCACCACTCAATTCACTAAGTTATATAGGTAACGTCATAACACTGCGAAATAAGCAGTAGAAGTAATATAATTTCAAATCAAAAGTTGAAAGAACTTATAAGTTATTTTTGGTTACGAGAAGGCGAATGAAAAGCAGCTTAATTAAGTGAACAGGAACTCTTAATAGGAGTGTTAAAAACCATTGGAAGCTAAGAATTCTGGTTATAGCCCTACGTTGCCTCTTGTCGAAGAAACCTTCTTCTACGTTGTCACAAAGAAAACTCCTTGCGTTGCAGACGCGCATATATCTCACCGAACAAATCTCTTTCTATGGATTATAAGAAACCGCTCGGTAGCGTTATCTTTGTTAATTCCAGCGCCGCGCTTGTACCGTGAAAAGACCTTTTTCTACAACGCGGTAGGTAAATTAAGTTGAAATCGCATGTGCAACCATGGAGGTATCTGGCCAATTCACGTGCCACTAGATACGGTGATCACGTGCACTGAGAGGTTGATCGATCGGTCTTGGACCGGCCTTACGCCATCGCGTTAGCGGCACATGCCATCTTACTCAGCGGCACGTGATTTGGCCAAGACCTCATTTGTCGCACAGGTGAATTAAACTTATTTCACCTGCTGCGTTGCAGAGAAGCGGCCTTTTCAGGATATAAACACAGCGTTAAAGTCAACAACAGTTACGTATCGAATGACTATTAAAAGCCCAAGTGAAGAGCTCTTCTGGCTGGAAATATGTGCTCCTGAGGCCAATTTTTTCCAAATTTTACAGCGCTACAAAAGGGTCTTTGAAAACCAGAGACGTGGGGCTGTAACCAGAAATCTTAGTTTTCGAAATGTTACTGACACTCTTACAGAAAAGTTTCCGTCCTGCGGATGAGGTCGGTTTTTCGTTCGTTTCCCTATAACACAAAACGAAATAAGAAAACATACGTATGGTTTAGCACCTTCACTGCAATTTGATGGCGAGTCGAGGAGAATTACCGTCTAAACAATTCATTATCAATTCCTTCGAAGCAACAGATTTAGACAACGAAACAACAGCGAAAACACTTGGAAATAAATCTGTACTGGAAAGACTATGGCGTAGTATTGAAAACGTAAGAATGGTCTCTTATCAAAGATAAAATCTACCTTTTGTTTTTTGAGACCACACTCAAATTTCATTATGCCTGGTAGTTATTTTTTATGCCATGCACATGATCTGCTATGGGCACTTAGACGGTGCAAGACAAATGTTTAGTTTCGGCTTTATAGCCCTCGTTGCAAGCACGGTGCCTTTCGGTTCAGGCAGTTCCGCAAGGTGTAATCTCGTATATATAGAATTGTATAGCTTAAAAATATTTATCAGACATATCGAATTTTGTCGTGGTCTCAAGAAAACACTCGAAAAGAACGGTATGATATTGCACGATAACCAGCCACGAGGAAACAAGTGTACAACACTGCCCGCCCTGTGATTTTTTTCACTTGACAGCGCGTGTAACTATTGTGGCGTCGGTTCTTCTAAGCGAGGACTTTTCCCAGTGGAACTGACTGAACCGAAAGGACCAGCAATTAACGAGGTTGAAAGGAGGAAGCACGTGTCTTGCACTACAAAAGTCCATAACATCTCACATGCACGACTCAAAAATAATCACCACAAATAGTGAAAAACCAGCAGGAGGATACGAGCCGCTTGTGAATCGCTTAAAGCATCAAGGAACTAGTGAAGAAGATAAAGAACATCCTACTCCGCACCCATCTTTACGACTCAACAATTATCCCTGCCCTAACGTATGAAGCAGAAATCTTGACGGTACGTAAGCAGGATGAAAAATAATTTAGTTAAATTATTATAATATGAAATATATATAATATAATAAAAATAGTATAATATAATAAATAATAAATAATTTAATTATCAAATAAATAAACATATACGTAATAAATGAAAATAATAAATCTAGTATAATAAAATAATAATATAAAAAATGATATAAAATAGAAAATAAACATAATTTATTGAACGAGCAGTTGAAAGATCAGTGTTAAGAGTATCCCGTATCTCGCAAATGAAGAAAATGATCCGATGTTTCGACATACGTCAACGATCGAAGATCAAAGGCGCCCTTTTACACGCCAGAATGTCGAAAATAAGGTGGACCGGACACGTGATGCGCTTCAACGACAGCCGATGGACGAGAGCCATTACCAACTGATTTACTCGGGACATCAAGCGCTCTGCAGAAAGACCACCAACCTGATTTCTTTACGAAAAGTGTTTGAGATTGTTATGATGCTTGACGAATCACTAGAGCATAGAGAACCCCCTAGGCTACTCTTGCACGCGACAGGGAAAAATTGAAGTGTTGCTGGCGCCCGCTCAGGTCACTCGACGATCAACGTGACGATAGTTGGTACAGGTGTCAGATGTTCAATAAAAAATATACGTAATATGCGTTGCGCAACGAAATACGTAAGGCAAAGGCATGAAGTACGAATTACAGTGAAAGCTTTAGTGAAAAGCCAAAAACATGAGGTCATGTGAAACTTAAATTTATTCCCTATTTTTACAGCGCTATAAGAGGGTGTCTTAAAGAATCGACCACTTAGGGCTCTGGCCACAGAATTTTCAAACAATTACTAACACTCCCATGAAATGACCCTGTCTAGCGAATGAAATCGATTTGTAAATTTATTGCCGTCTTACAGAAAAGTGCCAAGAGCCCCACCCAGCGAAAAAAAAACGCAAAAGGTACAAGTTGAAGCATAGTGTCTTGAAACGGGAACTAAAATTGAAAAATGAAATGCGGTCGTCTTTTAGCGTGCACTGTCTACTTCTTACATGATTGGCGTCGCGTTGCAGAAGTCATGATCACTACTGACCAATGGAGTGTCGTGATAGAGTGATTGTGATGCTCGTCTCGGCGCGCGCAGAGCCCACGTTCTAGCCCGCCCCCCCCCTCCCAATTCTCTCCTGTAGTCAACAACAACGCCTTATGGAACGCGAGCTATCCCCAAGACTGCAAGTAAACTCTTTTAGCTAGTATTTTAAGACGTTTAAGAAGAAGACTAAGAACTAATTGAATGCTAGCAGTACTGGGATCCGCACATTGAAGAAACACTGTGACGACGGGTCAAATGAAGTGTTAGAAGTACTAATAACCAGTGCGAAAAAGCTGTGGGAACAATGTGTGCTAGAGACATTGCTTGTTGGAGGAGCCTGTATATACCTTCCTGAAAGTATCTCTTGATATCCCAGAGGTGTAGAGTGAATTGCAAAACTTTTGCGTCAGTCAGTACTCGAACCCTCATTTTACTCTATCTTGGAGCGCATGCTCTAATCTGTTGCTCTACTGACGCCCGCTCTGACCACCACCAAGTATCTCCATGAACTTGTTTTGCTAATTACAGGCTGATCGGACCACCCATATCGCTGGTACCGGCAGGTGTCCCTAAGAGTTTATTATTGCCTCATTTGCCCGATCAGACGTTCTGATTAGTGCTGTAAGGTAAGGATAACCAATATGTATGCTTTTCCCAAAAGACTTCAGAAAATCCCACGATTCTCTATTCGACAAAGTTGCCTCATTGGCTCTGTGGGCAAAAGTAGTCATTAGTTCACTCCGCCTACATCGTCTACGATGAATGTTATTCGTTCGACACAATGAGCATCTGTCATGCTCCCTGGCAACAATGAAAAAGATAACATTCACACCGCTTGTTTCCTGTGTTTTCTTAAGACCACACTAAAACTTTGATATATCTCATAATTATCATCTGAGCGAATATGTCATGTGGTCTGCATATGGGCTTCTGTACAGTCCGCTGCAGGTGTTTTTGTCATGACAGGCTGAGCAGTCGGGCAGGCCCTTCGTCAGCTCGGCCAGGCACACAGCCCGTACATGTAAGATTCAGCTCAGTGAGGCTAGTCTACATGTTTAGTGGATGAGAAAACAACAAAACGATTAGTCAAGTAAAGCTGGTTATTGTACGATTTTGGAATTGATCAAATGCTTCTTCTCTACTTTGGATATGAAAGTGTTTGACTAAGTTGATGTAAGTGAATATAACTGGCCACTGATACAAACTCTATTGTGCTACTCCATACAAAATAAGCGTGTATAAACAACCTCATATCTGGTGAATAATAGAAAATCACTGATATTACTACACAAGCAAAAAGAGGGTTCAAGCAATGCGATGCGATCGCGCCGAAACTAAAGGTTAAAGCTAAAGGGAGAGAAAAACGTTTTGTCAATGCGTTTTGGTAAGTTCATTATTGATATCATGTTTTTCTTACTGATTTCGATGATTTTACCAGATTTTTTGTTTGATTTGGCCTAGAATGTGTTTCATTCATTGCTGTATGCTCAGCTGTGCTCAGGTAATGGGTC